ACTATTTGGATAAATATTTTTAAAAATAGTATTATTTGAATAAAAAACTCCCAAACTAAGAGTTCGAAGTAAATTTCTTCGAATATACCAAACATCATAGTTTTTATAATTTAAAAAAATTACACCATAAATAAAAATACTTAAAAAAGGAACATTATATTTTTTGGCACCTATGTTTTATCACACTCTTTGTTATATATTACATTTATTAAAAATGACATAATTATTCATAATATAAGATAAGAGATCCACGGAAATTTGTTATTTCTAACCTATTTCAGCCAATAAAAAAAATTCAAATGACTGCATGTGTATTCTTAACATATTTTTTCATGTTATTAGATATATATCTTGTGTTAATCGTTAAAATACGTTTTTTTTTTGCTCATTGATATTTTCATTCAATGTGTTATGATTTGTGGGATGTTTCCAAACCAAAACCGAAACCGTTAAATTTCAAATTCTCAGTAATAAATTAGTTAATTATTTTTATATTAATTATTAATTATTAACTATCATTATAGTACTCATAATCTCATATAACATGAAGAAAGGTTCATTCCTTTAAAACCTTGCCAGCTGCCCCACTTCTGATTTTTGATTCCTCGGAGACTCCCATTAGGGTTGTTTCCTTTTTTATTATTTTATTTTATTTTTATATATTTATTTGTTGTCCTCTTCTCAGTTACCACCTTGTCTCTATGTCTCATCACTTCAGTCCATTTTTCTATCTCAAGTAGACAAAAAGGAGCACAGTACAAAAATTGTACTTCCTTGTTTTCCTGGCAACTGTGTAAGTTCTATTACAACTATCAACTATGTATCCCCTTGAGTTTTTCTGTAATTTTTTCTGCTGTCACTTTCATTTCATCAAATGTCTGCCATTTTATTTATTTTTTTATTTGGTCCCCACATGCATTTTTTCACTGCTTTGCATGACTATGCTAATTTTATGGTTATGGAAGTAGATTAACTGATGCTAAAATCCACTGTGCTATGCTTACTGCTACTTTTGACACTGTGTAGCAAGGTTTTAAATTGTTGTCGTGGTTTTTGTTTTTGATGCAATCCTTGATATAGTGGGAAATTGCGGATAAATGTGACCCAAAAATATGTTGTGGCCAAAGTTGTGATCTTTAAAACCTTGCTATGTGGCATGTGGATTTTGGAAAAAGTTTGATTGCATGAAAAAACTTCTTTGGGTGCTGCTTGCTTGCTTTTGTCTTTGACTTGTGGTTATAAAGATTGAAACTTTTATAGAATATCAGTATTTAAGTACTTGAAGGAGTTCTATTATTTTATTTTTGTGCACTGCATGCACTCATTTTCGGTTCCATTATGCTGTTTTTCTTTGGATTCACCAGGGTTCGGCCCCACGTGAGCTTTGACCAAGTCGGTGTCTGGTTCAGTGAAACAATGAGTCATGCTTGCTAGATGCTTATGAATGCATGCACAAAGTAACACCTGCATGCACTTCAAAGGACTTGAATGGTGTTTTACCTTTTTACTTTTGGCCGAACGCTATGTGATTCAACTTAACAACAAAACTGGGTTTATTTATGTGTTAGATAGATAAGGAGTGTATTGCTTATGAGGTTAGAAGAACTAACATTGATTATTTAATCTTATATTAATGGTCAGGATTGACTTCCTCACCTTTCACTTGATATATGTGTGTATACTCATTGTTTGATATATATTTTCGAGTAGTTGTTGATATATCTCTGTGTGTACTTTTTGTTTGATATATATGTGTGAGTTATTGGAAAAATCAGTGTCAAATGGAGCTTTCTTTGTTTGTTTTTGGATTTCTTTTGCTTGTCTTTAGGAAGCCTTTCTTGTTTGGTGTAGAAATACATGATTGCAAGATATAGTGCTTCTGTGTTTTCCGTTACTGATCAAATCATTGGAAGATGACAATTATTCAAAATGAACAACTTAAACATGGTCCACAAGAAAAGTGGTTTAAGAATTTTCATGACAACTTTGATCTGAACGTGACTGCTCAAGAGATGGAGCAGCAGCCTCATTTGCAGTGGGAATTATTAGAAAATCACTATAGCCAATATAGTGAAATGTCTGGAAAGATGGAGAAGCACAGAGATAACATTAGTTTGGAAGACCAACAACAAGGAAGTCAGGTACCTAGGACAAAGGCTTTTAAGAGGTGTGTTGGTGACTTGTTGATTCTTGCACAATCTGCTGAGATAGTAGCACAATCTGAATATAATGTGGCCGGGGTGCATTCAAATAACCAAGAAAATACAGGTGAGTACTGTAAATGTAAATCTAAAGGTTTGGAATTCATTATGATTGACTTCATCTAAGGTATGTTTGGGAGTGGTGGGGGTTTGGAGGGAAAGGAAGGAGAGGGCTATTTTATTTAATTATTTTCCTTTTAAATTAGGAAAGTTATATAATGTTTATATATATATATATATATATATATATATATATATAAAAGATCAGATCATTAAGTTTATGTTAATATCTCATTATATTTCTTTTACTATGAAGAATTATTAAATTAGAGAATATTTATTAGAAATAAAAAAAAATTGTCCTCTATTTCCTTTGCTTACAAAACCCAACCCCAAACAATGCTTTAGTATTTGCTAATGTTGTGTCCTTTTTCTTCAATTCAGACTTACACAGCGACCTGGTTGATCAAATGCCACAAAAATGTCCTAGCAATATAAATGTGGATGGTTAGTGATGGTACCTTTATTCAATTTTCTCATGCCTTTATGTGCATATTTAGAATACCAATGTGAGAAGAATTTGATAGCTGTTTCTGTGTTGCTTCTTTTATAGATCAGGAATGCTCTCAAGAGCTACTTGATAAATTATCAGCAGTTTCTCATGTAAGTAGTCAATGGTGTGTTTTTTGTTATGTAGTTACCAGAACCCGCTTAACCAAAATTCGGAAGCAAGCTAGATGTAAACATCTTGTATTGGACCAAGAGAGGGCTGAGGAAAGCCCCTTCAAACATTCACAAGGAAAAACAACCCGCCTGAACCAAATAAAGCATCAAGCTCGTTGCAAAAGTAAGAATGATTTGTCACCTCAAATGATAAGCAGACTCAAAGATGAGCAGCCAAAAGGTAGAATACTTCGACTAAGCCAGATGAAACATCAAGCTCGGTTCAAATTTAATTCAACAGTGAAAGATGGGACTGAGGCACAAATAGATGAGAGTCTGCCTCACAACAGCATTAAAGGTGAATAATGAGGAAATTAATAATGTGAAGAGATGGGTAATTCTTGAACTTGGCACTATTTGGATATGTTGAATACTTATATTCATTAACTAGATGTACTTAAACAGTTTAGTTTCTATGGAATAAACTTGAGAAAACTAGTCGGAGAGCTTATTTTTACTTCAAATTAACCGAGTTGGAGCTGAGAGTAAGCATGTTTTGATTGTTTTCCTTAACATTTGTATTGGTGCTGTTTGCCAACCTGTGATTAACTGCTTGCTATCATTGTTATAGATAATGAAAAAGTGATTGCAAGGCAATTTGTGAAGAAAAATATTTGTCAAGGGGGTAAGGCTATTCTGTTCATAAATATCATTAATATATTCATCCTATTACTCCTGATACTTGACTGTTTGTTCTGTCATTGTTACTCAATAGAGGAGGCATAGGTTTATGCTACATATTATGTATTATAGTTAATGGATAGTTTTCTTCAGTCATGGAATTCCTCAATGGAAGCACATGGTGATTTTTTTTTTCAGTTGACAGTTTCTTAAACTAGCAATGACAGATTATCTATACATGAAAGTGCCAGCTTATGTTCTTTGGTAAAAATAAACTGCACGATTTCTTAAAATTGTACTGCACAAGTTGGTTTCAAATTAATATATAATGTGCACTTATTAGTTATTACTTTTTCGAGGAGCTTTATTTTGGAGTTGGTAAATAGATTGAAGTAGCTTTTGGAATATGTCAAAACTACACCCAACCTAATGCTGATAGGATTGTTATGTTACTGTAATGATAAACATCTTTATATTTCAATATAGTGATTGATATTGACTTTCATGCTATTTGTATTTATCTTCCAGATTCCAATCCTTCTGTTGAAGGTGTACCTGCACATAACTTTTACAGAGGAGCCAGTCAATCATCTATTGGTATGTTTCATAGTTTCTATATATTGTACATGTCATATTGAAAAAAAAGTTAAAAATCCTTAAAATTCTGGTTTTAAATGAATTTCATTATATAGAAATTAGGCTAAGAATTGGTAGGCCTATGTTCTTACCTAATATAGAAAAGTAAGCTATAATCAATTCCTATTTTACTTTAACTTCCATAGAATTTGTACGGCAGTCTTATTGTACTAGTCATTGTCTTATGTAAAATACTAGGTAATGAACATCTGTACGTTTCTAATTCTTAACTATAGTGTAACTATTATATGGATTGTAAGATAGACATTTTCTGGGGTATTTAGCACAAATAATATTTGTTAGACTACAATCAATAAATGATCCTTCATCAATTTGCTTCAGTAAGGTGGGATATTGAAAATCTTAAGGAACATCAACGTACTGCAAGGCGGTTAAGAGCATTGAAGACTAAAAAACTGAGGCAACAGTCAAGGAAAGAG